AATGTACGAGATTATAAAAAAATACATCAGTGAATAGAAATTATTGGAAGATAGAATGATAGGAAAATTAGAAAATTGCATTTATTATCCAAGAATACAGGCATAGAAGATCAAAGGTGAGATGCGTGCTATTTTTTGTCGTTTTAAAGAGTAAAGGAAATTCGCATCATTTTCTAAATTGATATTATAAATGTTTCATGTTCTTGGATAAAAATGTGCAGTCTATATCAGTGAGGAGAGGCTATAAAACATATCTTGATCAGATGCAAATAAATTTCGATACGTTCCTCTGATGTTTGCGTCGGCGAAGACTCGTCGCGAAGACTGCCACCCTCTTTCTCACCCCCTCAGCTAATCATGTAACTCGATTGAAGAGAACGAGCGAGAGGGCGGGCCAATAAGAGGCTCCCTTTAATCGGGTTACTTCGTTACCGCGGTACTCCGTCACTCGGTGCGGTGATATCAACGGAATATCAATTGTAGTGATTAACCGAGACGCCTCCGAGTCGAAAACTTTGCCTTCGGTTCCTGTTGGGAATGTCTCCCGTCGAGTAACATCTTTTGTTAGCCGCGGAATCAGCCTGGAATATTCAAATTCGAAAGTCCGAGGCGTTTCGCTCGTTTCTTGAATTAGACTTTTCGTTTGCATTTCTTAACCGATGGAATATCTATGATTTCACGATTGAAATGTTCGTCGTCAATTAGGACAATGAATTAGACACGGGCCCGTGACCTGGAGAAATCAGGCCCGGAGCCACATTATAATAATGCGAGAGCCCCGAGGGTGGTAAGTACGTATCGATGCGGACACTCGACGCAGCTGTCCAGGAAACGTACTCCCGCCTATTGTGCCTGGCTAGTGCGCGGCCTAACCAACCGTAAACGTCGGAAATCTAATTGATGAAATTCAATTTCGCCGCGACAATGGTGTCCGCGACGGATTATCACGTCCACGGCTGTGTACTTTCCAAAAATTACATCGGAATCGGGCCGGGCGACAAATCCGGTGGATTCGACACGGGCCGAGGATTCGGCGAATCGGGTTAACGACGTCGCTTCCACGCTGCTAAGCCGATGAGCAAACGCAGGAATCTCTGGTATATCGCGATTGAAAATTTCACAGATTATCAAAGGGTTCGTCTTTTTATTTCGAAATTTATACGAAATTGCGAGAGAGCAATAGTGGGAGCGTTTCAATAGCGCGGTCTTTTGTGGTCGCCGATAAATCCTGCTAATCTCCACGCACGAGTTCTAAGAGAGGCTTCCGCCTATCGTGTTTTCGAATTTCCATCAAAATGCTCGAATCACCTTTCTCCCCCGTCGTTCGTATTAGCCGGGGTGAATTATCGCAGAATCAAAATAATTCGATGGATGGGGTGTCGTGTATTACAAGAGGGGTGACCATTTCTGTACGTTAGGGTGCCAAAACATCCGCCGTCTCTCGCCAAAATATTGCCCATCGTATTATCTCTCTCACCTACTTTTCATCACTATCATTACTTCACTAGTTATTTCTACACATAACTTAAAACATATTTTAATCATCGTACTAAAATTACAATTATTATTCAAATGTAATTGTTCGAATCGTTAAAATAAGAAGCTTTCTATTAAGAAAGAACCGTCAATACTTGTGCAGCGCATCAAAATCATATTTATTCATTTGAGCTAATTTTTTGGGCGTGGGCCTATTAGATTGTCCTGTTATGCTCTAGGGCAGATTGACGCCGTGGCTTGGAAAAAGCAATCGAGACAGCTGCCAGGACGTCCGCTGTTCATCATTTCTGGCTTCCATCGCTCAAAACCGATTCACTAGAAACTGGTGCAATTTTCGTAGCCACGTTTTGCAAGAGAGAGAGAAAAAAAGAGAGCGAGGGAAGGCATATTTAAAATGCAGAAAGGCAAACGATAGCATGTCAAGAGCTGTCAGGTGGCCGGTTTAAACAGCACAATGGCTCAATTCGGGACGAAAATCCGGCGGGTAAATCTCCCATTCAAATGCGATCCGAATCCCCTGCGTCAAATGGGACCTAAGTAGCTACTTAGTTGCACATTTGGCTTGAAATTTTCGATACACCCTTCCCTCGTGCCCCGTGCCGCATCGTGCGACGTCGATGTTATCTCTGCTTTCGCGATAAGAGAACTTGGTACCTGGATCTGAACGCATCGCGCTAAATCTGTTTCAAACTCCGTGAGCCTTATGGCAGCTATTGTGTTACACGAGATTCGCGTATCTACATGAATTCGATTCGATTTAGTTGTAAAATAAGGGGATTATTTCACGTCCTGCGGTCAAATGATTAACTCTTAATTGAATATCCAAGTGAATCACTGAAACTGAGAAGAACAAGGCTGTTTAATCAACATGGGACTAGTAATTTAATCAAGTCAATTAGGTTGTTCGAAAGCGTTTTCTATAAATTCACGGTTAACGAGGTTCGGATTCCGGCGTATGTAATTAGGAACGATCGGGGCGACCCTCGGTTAGCCGATGCCACCGCGAACGGGAATAATTAGTTTTAATTGCCCCCAACGAAACTTATCCCTCCCCATTGACGCATTAAGACCAAAGTTAGACGGGCCACAGGAGGTTTAGGTTTTGCGAAGCGTGAGCAGGTAAGGTATACACTATACACGTACTACGTGACACGGTTGGTAAACCCGAAGCTGGCTTTGTTAAGCTCGGATTCTGAGTGCCTTTGATACGTGTACTTGCACGCTAACTAACCAACCTAAGCTATCCGCGTACGTACGAGTTTGCGCGTGTATTATACACCTTTCCGTACCCAGGTACGTCCATCATCCGATTTTTTCATCTAACTTTTTTTATTTTTATCAATTTTGTGATGTTTAACATATGAATAAAATTCTATAAGTTACAGAATAAGACTTATTTTTCAACTATGGATTAGAGCTATCATTCTTGAGAAATGTCTTTTCTTGCAACAATCATATCTTCACTATTCATATTACAAATATTCGATCAGTGTTTAAAAATAATTTATTAACTGATTAGAGAGAAGATTATATGAAAATTGTATTAAGAATGTATTGGCTATACAGTC